AAATTACGCTTACATAACTTAAATACTTCTAAAGTATTTGACACGTGAAAATTAGATTAGATTTTGATTAAATTCGTATTATTTAAAAAACCTTATTAAAACAGACACTTATTTTGCTCAGCGAATCCAAAAATGCAATAATATACGGGACATTCCATTTAAAAAAACGCAACTTTGATACCTTTCGAGCTTTTGGGACACCCTGTACATTACGAAAATATAATTTTTTTAAAATCAAACAAACTCAAACGAACAATCAAACGCAAACTTCCGTGCCGTATAGCGTGAATAACCCTGTATACAGGGCGATCGAAAATTACCGCTTGTTGCAAATACCTCCCAGTTCTGCACTCAGTTTGATAGTTGAATCACTTGCATTGTCAAGCAAGAAAAAAACGGGTGTTTCCGTTGGTTTTTGCTGATGTTAATTGGCACAAAGTGGCCGCCACAAAGGGCCTAACTAAGCTCGACTACATAAAGGCAACTTTGCGGCCGACGATGGGGAGTCCGGAGTAATTAGATTACGCAATAAAATGCTCGGAAAGCGGCGAAAGCGATATTTCGATGGTTGTTATGTAAATGACTTTTTTCCGTTGTTGTTGAACGACTGCTCGACGTGGCCGTAGCAAGGGCGCTTATTTGAATAACAAACCTGCCGACTGGCTTATTTTCGCTGATTCAAAGTGAAGTTGTTCCGCAATTTAACGCTGAACGCTTGTAATTGGAAATAGCATACGGACCTGTCGCAGTACCTGGAGAAGCACAGCGGCGGACTGGAGCCTCGCAACGTGCGCCTTTTCCTATTCCAGCTGCTGCGGGGGCTCTCCTACTGCCACAAGCGGCTGGTGCTCCATCGGGATGTTAAACCGCAAAATCTCCTCATCTCCGAGATCGGGGAACTGAAGCTGGCCGACTTCGGCTTGGCCCGGGCTAAAAGCGTGCCTAGTCACACATACAGGTAAGCTCGCATGCAACGATTTTCATTAGCAAATGCTCACCTCGTATTATTGCAGCCACGAAGTGGTCACTTTGTGGTACCGGCCTCCAGACGTCCTGCTGGGCTCCACCGAGTACTCGACCAGCCTGGATATGTGGGGTGTGGGATGCATCTTTGTAGAAATGATCACCGGCATGGCGATTTTTCCCGGCGTGCGTGAGACTTACGATCAACTGGATAAAATTTTCAAGGTACGTCCTCCTATCGACCGGGTGTAAAATGGGGTGAAGCAGCCTCGTTCGTCTGCCTTCAGGTGCTGGGCACTCCAAGCGAAGACGATTGGTGCGGATGCACGCGACTGCCCGGCTACAAACCCCACAAGCTGGGCAACTACCGATCCAGAAGACTGGGGTTGTGCTGGCCGGCGTTACACGACGTAGTCCATGGAGAAGCCATGGCAACCGCCCTGCTCCAGTTGGACCCCACCAAGAGGATCGGTGCCGAGGACGCCATGCACCATCGGTAAGACATCCACCTTAACCACCTCTAGCTTACCTGTATTTATTTCAATTGTTGCCAGGTATTTCGAAGGGCTGCCCAAGAAGCTGCTTGAACTGCCAGAAGGTAAGTCGGAGAAAGGTTCAACAAGCCGCAATGTCTAGAATGGGGCTTTGTTCCAGATGCGTCAATATTCAGCGTGGAAGGGGTCCATCTTCATCCGGAAGAATACTCGGGAATAAAATGAGATTTAAAGCACCGGCTTCAGTTGGTTTGCAGGTCCAGGTATGAGAGCAAACAGGGGAAGCAATGACGTCGCGCTCCTTTTTCGTACCAATCCTCGTCCTCTAAGAACCTGTTTTGTGAGGTTTTTCCATGCAGTTGCCTGGAAAAGGGATGTCATGAAATGTTGCTTGCTACTCGGTTAAAAACCCGTGTGACTACTAAACACTAGCGTCGAATTGATAAGGAAACTGTCCAGCGGTGGAGAAACGGGGTAATTTCCTGCAGGTGGGCAAAGTCTTCTTCCGAGGTAATGATGCATTTGTTGAAAAAATTCCCATTAGCGTTGTGTTAAATTTAGCGACACATCGGCCCAAAAAAACCACTCTTTTGCACTGTGTCCCGGATGAGAATCCCGTTGGCAAGCAACTTGGTTGAATCAGAGTTTAAAAAATAGTACCATACGGATGCCTCATTTTCCCTTCTCCTCTTGGGCATAGTTAAAACCCAACTTCAATTAAGCTGATTTAGTGATGCATCGTGCAATGACGCTTCTCTTATTAAACTCACAACATCTACATCTTTAGTAGTATTTTCTCTAAATAAAAACCAAGCAATGATAAAGCCAACTCTTGTTTTGTTGTTAAATTAGGTGCGCTCCAATGCAGATACAAAGCGACTCATTGATGTTTTATATCGGCATTGGCTTGAATGTCTTATGTGTGTGTGTGTGTAAGAAAACTGTGATCGAAAAATGCATTTAGACGAACCAGACCAAACGTTTTTGGAACGGCACAGTGAGGACAATTGAAAAATGGCTAACTCATTCCTTCCATAGTGCTCAATTAAAACTCGTGTATTAAACTAATTAGGGACGACTCAACCGTCTTCGACTAAGACACTCAGTTTTTGCATTCAAGCAACCCGAGACTTGCGGATTAAACTAGTATCTTCTGTACATAAGTAATAGCGAAAATCACCTTGTTGAGTTACGCGAATAAATAGCCATTTTTAGTTTAGCAGTTATGTTGCCATAAGGAAATAGTGACGCTTCGAAAAATTCGCTTGTGGCTAACGTAACTGAGTATAATCCTGTGTAAATAACCGAAGAAACAGTCGTTAAGTGCCAAACGAGGCACTTGTAGGTTTTCGATTTAGACGCGTAGGCCGAAAAAAATTAGGGTTTCCACTAATTACCACTAGGACAGGCCTAAGAGCTGAACGAGTGAATCCATCTGCAATGAGGGGTCTTTTCTAGAAGTTTTAGAATGTATTTAATATAATATTGTACTGTAGGTAGAAAAGCTAGCCGTTCTTCAGCGAGTGGCAACTGTTGATGCCTAAGCTCGATCGCTGAAGAATCAACTAAAGTTACAATCAAAAGCACTAATTTTTTGCCGCAGTGCACAGCTTATCCCCATGGACGTCCATTAACCACAACCGTCTCATTTTCTATCTGTGAATTTTGTACATTAAGCGTTGAAATTAGGTAATTGTCGCACATCCGCTCCTTGTTCGGAGTGAAATGGGCGATACATGGCTGAAGCATATGAGAATTTCTATATATACATATATTTTTACGCAATTTTTCACCAATCATTCTCCCAAATGCACGCTGCAACTTTGCGCGTTATTTTCTCTGGTTCTACTGTTTCAAAGTAGAGTTTCCACCATATCAACTACTGGTGAGAAACTATAATCTGCAAACACACCCGCCCTTTAGAGAATAATTTCTTTAAAGGTGCTTTAGGAAACAAATGCGGTTTTTTTTTATTAAACTACCGGCAGAAGCCCGTCAAGCTTTCGACATATTCCGACGATTTTCCACCGGAGAGTATCGGGGAATGTGCCGAAACCTTAATAGAGTTGTTCGGAGTGTAAAATGAACTCTTCGTGATAAAGAGTGAATTGTTTTTGTTGAGCAAATAGGTGTTTTAGATAATGTCGCGTGAATGATCGTTTATATCGGAAGTCATGTAACTAACATAAGGACTATTGAGCGGAAAGCGAACAGCGGCCATGATTTGCGATATAAAATGTTAAAAATTGTTCACTGTTGCAATAGTGGAATCCACTGTTCAGGTACTGTTGCGTTTGTACATAGGGAATAGTTGTTTATATATATCTAGGTTATTATAAGAAATATTAATAAATGTCTTTGTATAAAACCAACGTGTTTTTGTCGGCCATTTCCCCCAACCCACTGACATGAGAAAAATAAAAAAAATACAGTTTTTACATCTATAATTTACACCTATAACTGCCTGAACACAGAGCGAATGACGTGCTTATGCAGTATGAAAGGAAATAGTAACTAAAAAATTATAAAGGGACAATGTCAGTATTCAGTAAACGCAAATCTACACACAATTTAAAGTAAACATCCTACCAACTGGTCTAAATATACATCATCTCGGCCATAGAGCTCATTTTCTTAGGAATATGCACTGAAGTCTCAAAGTAGCTAGCTAGTTCATCTATGGTAACATCACATGGGGGATTCACATTTAGCCTGGCTTGATGGGAACAGCTGGCTACGCCACTTAAATCGGCACTGGCCAAACTACGAAGTCCGTCTACTGGTGATTGGCGCCTTGGTAGACTGCAACCATCCAAAGTTAATTGTTTGCATGCATTCACCAGCTTCTTAAAGTCCTTCTCTCTTGATCTGGAGCACTGTCCAAACAATTTGTCGTTCTCTTTGGTTTTCCTGTGATGTCCTTTGAACTTCACTATGTTTAAAACGGGATCCTGAATAATTTTCCGGGTATTACGCTTGAAAGACGTGGTCTTCTTCACATTGCCTTTCGAGTGATGACAATGACAAACTGGGGCGCCTGGATTCGTAATACTAGACAATGATTTCGATCGTCTTCGGAATGGGTTGCCGTGCACCTCTTTACGCTGCTGTTTCGGCCCTTCTAATTCTAGTTTTTGTAGACAGGTGGATAGTTTTAAGTCCGCTTCGTCCATTTTGCTCTACAATTTTACCACTCTTTAAAAAATCTGGTACAATTAATGCTATTTACGGAGCCTTCGAATTGGCGTGGAGACTATTAGATGAATTTGCACTTACCATTGTTTGCACAAATAAGCATTATATATTTTTTATACCACACCACAGTAGACCTATTATGGGGCTACTTTTTAGAAAAAATCACTTGTTTACAAACACCACTGACACATCTAAATAATTATTAATAATAATGGCGACGAACAGGAACAGGTCAAACACCAGTAGTTTCCTGTCATTTGCCAGCTGCACCAACCCACAAATCACTGCGCTACTGGCAACATCGGATTGTTATCTATTTGGTGATCATGTACTTTATGTCTACATTTTGCAACTTGGGCATTTACCCCCTATAACTTGCTTAAAAAATTGCAATTTTCTTCCTAGCCGATTTTGCATAATTTAGCATAAAAAACTTAAAGAACAAATGTACTAACAAACAAGCGAAAATTTATAATTCAACATAAAAGCCTTTTAGCACCGTTGCCATGTGTGACAAACCTAGCTAATCTGGTGTCAATGAACGTCCTTTATCATCGTAGGCCTGTCAAAGTTTGACAGGCCCACGATAAAAAATGGAGTTCTTTGTTTTGTGACGTCTTAAATGTTAAGTTCTAGCTTTAAATAAATAAGAATAAATGTCTGTGTTAACCGGTATTACATGAATCAATCTGAATCAAACGTATGGTTCCTACCGGTGCCATGACAGAACCCCAAAATACTCGTTTCGACACATCCGAAGAACGACTGATCGCCAAAGAGGCAAACGCCCAGAAATTAAAGTCCACTGGTTTGCTGAAGAACGGATTTAAACTGAATTTGAGAAAGAAAAATGGATACAAGACGGTGTTGTCGAAGAGCAATGAAGATCTATGCACGCATAACTTAATATTGAACAATACAGATGACAATAATGGAGTACAAAACCAGTCGGGGAGGGAAAGTGATAGCGGAAAGGGCAGCCCGAAAACATCCCCTTTGGGGTCGCCCACAACCGACACTTGGTTCCACACATGGCCGGAACGAGTGGAAAAGGTGATTATTAAAGGGCAACTACTTTCAGCATCTAAAACTCGAACGTTTTTAGCTGAAAACCGCTGACTCCAGTCCGGAGAAATCTGACGAGCAAAACGGAAATTCAGCGTCAGACCCACATAGCGTGAATAACAAACTAACACTGAATGAAGCATTAAAGAACATATCACTAGCTTATAGTCCGGTGACCAGGAAGCTTCACATCGTAGAAGACCTACCTGCTATTAAGAAAACTTCTGAATCTCAAGATGATCAAACTGACTGCGAAAGTAATTTTAGGTGTACATTAGGGGCTGGTGGCGACTTCACAGCAGCCAAGGTACTTCTGCATGCAAAGCGGCAAAACGACCTAAAATCCAAAGCGCGGTGTAAATTTGTAGGAAAATTCTAGTCCAACGAAAGTATTTGGCCATAGAAGGATTCAAGAGGGCTCATTCTCAAGCACCATATCAACGCTAAGCGAGCCGTCAACATCAGGAAGCCTGATCGACAGTGAGGATCGATCTTTGTCGAACTTTGGAGACGAAACCGTCGGTCCAGAGGAGAAAACCCGCAGGAAAAGCCTCACCCATTTCTTCACCAAGTAAACTACTCTCCAACATTTCTAATATCTCCCACCACACTGTCTTTCAGAAATGTGTTTTCCTGGAAATCAACCAACACCGATTCAACTGGAGGCAGTGTCTGGAAATTGTTCGGCAAAAACTCTTCCCAGTGCAACAATTCTCCTTTACATACCGTCGCCAGTTCATCAGCCTTAATTCAAATGAAGAGGTGAGTGAAAACCACAAGAGTTCAGCCAGACAATTACTTAAAAACCTTTTAATTAGGCCATCGTCTTTGCCTGCCAAGACTGTGGAAGAAGAACAAAAGCATGCTCAAGAATACAATGAAATTCTGGCGGCAGCCAAACGGAAAGAAGCCAGAAGCACTGCGGCCAAGGAGAAGCAAAAGAAGCTCCAGCTGCAGCAGGAAGAACAACAGGCAACTGCTGCCAAACACTTTTGTCAAAATGTGATACCGAATTGGAGTCAAATGTAAGAAAGGAATAGTTCAAATGGAATCGAAGTTTTAATACTTCTAATTGATTCCCGTATATTCTATCTTAATATTCAGGGAGAAAAACAAAAAGACGCAAGACCTTTGGTGGCAAGGACTGCCCTCGAGCGTAAGGGGCAAAGTCTGGCGTTTAGCCATCGGCAACGAACTGAATATAACTCAGCAACTGTACGAAATTTGCGTAACACGAGCGCAAAACAGACTGAACAGCCCTGAACCACCCCCATGCGAATATGAGAACGATCAGGTAAGTGAACTGAACTTTGAAGGCAAATTTCGCGAGCAAAACTCTTTAGGAAAGCAGCATGGACGTTATCGAATTGGATATCGCCAGAACGTTCCCCAATTTGGGCATATTCCAACAGGGCGGGCCTTATTCGGATGTTCTTCATTCGCTTCTGGCCGCGTACGTGTGCTTTAGGCCTGATGTGGGATACGTGCAGGGCATGTCTTACATAGCAGCGATTTTGATACTAAACATGGACGTTTGCGATGCTTTTATTTGTTTTGCAAACCTGCTTAATCAGCCCCTGCATCTGTCCGCCTTCACGCTGAACCAGCCCCAGATGAACGCCTACTACAGCGCCTACAATTGTGTTTTCAACAGCAATTTGCCCAAATTGTATGGGCACTTTGAAAAGGCCGGCCTTACGCCCGATTTGTACCTACTCGACTGGATTTACACGGTGTTTGCCAAGGCAATGCCTTTGGATGTGGCTTGCAGGATATGGGATCTTTTTCTAAGGGACGGGTACGAGTTCATTTTCCGAACAGCGCTAGGAATTCTCCACTTGTACCAAGCGAACCTCCTTACAATGGACTTCCTGCAAGGAGCTCAATTTCTTACAAAGTTGCCCGAAGACATGTCTTCGGATCAACTGTTCAAAAGCATCCAGAACATCACGACTTGCATAAGGAAAACTTGTTTTAGTGAAATAGTACATAGGTGTGCGACACAGCAATCCATGACTGACTTGTACAGGTAGTTGTAGTTTGAATGAAGCAGATCTGATATGGAACTGGGTCTCGATTTACTAAGTTGGCAGATTTTTTCATTAAACTCCATAATCATTGATACAAACGATCAAACGCAATGAACCAATTTTTTATTAGCTTAATAAATTTAAGATTTTATCGTTTTCCGTCCTGTGAAACCCTTCCACAATCTCACGACGAAGGGTAATTGAATGTTTATTTTGTCCAATTATCAGCATGTTGATCAAATTGTTTAAAACGCCTAAGTGCCGATTAAATGTCTCACTTTATAATGATTATATCGTTGCTATGTAGTATTTACGTTTATAAATTGTGATATTTATGTGAATATTCTATTATATTATTTGGAATTCTGTTTGTAAATATGGAAGTTGCATCTGCTTTTTAAATGCCCAACCAGATTGGACTTTTCGATCTGTTGATGTTTTGATATTAAGCACTTATTATTACTATTCGCTGGTTAAGACTATATTTTTTATAAAAATAATATTTTATTTATTCCCACATTGTTTTGCTACTTTCACGAACCAAATATCCCCTCATCCCCCCCAATCATTGATTTAATATATCTTAAGTTCGCAAGTCATTGACATGACATTCGTAAAAATTAGGAATTAAGGAACTGGGCAACCGGTCTTTAAAAAGGTTGTTTTTTATGACTTAAGGAAATTTTAAGAATTAAGCACTACAACGTTGGGTAATCCAGCATTTAATTAAATCAATGATTGGGGGGGATATTTGGTTCCATCTGGTTTAGAGCTTATGTTTAAGTCGAATCCAATCCAATATTAGAGGAGTGTAATAAGTTATAATAACGTCTGCTCCTAAAAAAACAAATCATATCACAACCAATCCCTTATCCTGCGTTAGAGAGTATATCAAAGGAAACGTGCGGTTTTTGATTTACCAGCGTGCAAACGACCCAATCCAGTTCAGAAAGGACAAGTTCATTGTACTAACCTGCTCTCCGATAGGAACCCAAAATCTCCATCAGAGCATCCTTCAGGTCAAAAACGCCCTTTTCAGCAGCCGCAAGAATCATGGCATATTCTCCGGAAACCTGGTAGACGAACATCGGGTATTCTGGGTATTTCTCGGTCACTTGCTTCAAAACGTCCATATTGGCCATTATGGGCTTCACCATCAGAAAGTCCGCTCCTGCAACAAACAATGCTAGAATAGCATCACTGCTGGCAATCGGTTGCTCATGTACCTTCGTCTATATCGCGCGCTGCCGCCCTTAAAGCCAACCCGCCGCTTCCTGGGGGCAATTGATAGCATTTGCGATCCCCTGAAGCGGGGCTGGACTTGGCCGCATCCCTAAACGGCCCGTAGAAGTTCGACGCAAATTTGCAACTATACGATAAAACCGCCACTGAGTTCTGCAGGTTGTTCTCAATCAGTAGCGACTTAATAGAGCCGATGCGACCGTCCAACATATCCGAAGGAGCCACTATTTGCGCCCCTGCAAGCCCCCCGCGTTAATCAAACATACTGCTGCCAAATGGGAATGTATTACCGGCCTTCGCATATGCCAGCGATATTTCGGCAATTCTCTTGATGCTCTTGGCGTTGTCGATGCTCCCGTTCTGACCCAAAATGCCGCAATGCCCATGAGAAGTATACGGGCATAAGCAGACGTCGCAAGCGATGGTAAGCTCGGGGAACCAGCGGCGCAGATGGGGCAGCGCTCGAACCACCGGGTTTTGGGGGCTGTCTGCATTAGAGCCTCTTTCGTCCTAGGTTGCAATTTTTTCGGTTAAATCACCCCGCCATTGGCTCATTCACTTGCCTTGTGCAGCGACTCTGCTACACCAAAGGCCATAATGGAAGTTAAGCCGTTTTTTACGAGTCCATCCAGATGTTCCTTTAGTTTATTGATGCCGTAGCGGCAAACGCCTGGCATGCTGGGGATCGATTGCACTTCATTATCCGCTTCTCTGGAAAAGTTCAAATCATTGCTGATAACATACAAATATTAAACCAGCGCATTTTCCTTTTTCTCCAAATTCTAGTAGCCTTGACCTGGCTTTAGCATTACTGGCGGTTTTAAGCGATTATCAACCTACTTAATTGAATAAAATGAGTGTAAAATATGGGAAAATAACCTTACATAATGAACACGGGGTACATGAGGTTCTGGGGCGTAATTTCGGTCCGCAGCGCCTGCCAACCCCTGAGAGTCTTGTTAAAAAAGCCCCCGTGTAATATATGTCTTTTCTGGACCACATTCTTGTACTCAGCGCTCATGTTCGCGACGAAATGCCCTGAAATATCGAAACCTTAGCTACGAAGCGCTCAGCTCACCGGACGATAGGGGGGAGTAAAATATCAATTACCTGGCCTCAGTAAGCACAAAATCAATTAATTGCTAGGAAAGAAATTGTTTTCAATTGAATTAATCTTTAATCTAATTCAAACTTGACAACTTGCGAGCAGATATCAATCATCCAGCGCTATCCTTGTCCTACCCGTAGGGACAGAGAGAAATCAAACGCACATGGCTTACAGTGAAAATTGCGGCGCCGCGGCAACAGTGGGCGCGGTTCACACCGAGTAGGGGGCAAGCGCAAAAAAAAACTTAATAAAAAAACCGAGCAAACAAATTTCCAGTATTTACTTGTTTAAGAAACATGTTTTAAATACTGTCATTATAAATTTAAATATATAACAAAAAAATCTACAAAATGAACTAGACGGCTTCTAGTAGGAGAATCTAGATGTTTCCGGGGAAAACGCCCTCAGCTCGTTGCTCGTCCCATTTCTCAACCCAGGTGTTGGGGCACAAAGCGTGGAACACCTTCTTGAAATAATCACAAGGCGCGTAGTTTTCCCCTCGGATTCGCTGGCATCGATAATAGTCCACATAGCTTTGGTAGCAGTGTCTGGTCTGGTTGGTGTTGGGGAAACGGGGGTCGAATGGAACGGTCTCAAGAGCTTCTACCACCATTTTGCTGCAAACAAGTTATGTAGACGACAGTGCAATAACTGGCCGAAAATTCCCGCCCTAAAACGTCCACTTTTCCACTTTTGACATAGAGCGCAACTAATTTATAAAACACAAATGGTTCAAAATAAACTAGGATTTTTCTGGAAACATTCACATAATTAGAACACAAACAAAAAAGTTTTCGCTTTTCTACCGTAACCCTAAACTGAAAGTAAAAAATACACATGAATAAAATTATTAACTACAAGCAACTGCTTCGAGGGTTGCATGGAAACACATCTTAACATAACTAGAATTACTTTTAAGAAAGTTCAACAGTCATCATTTGACCAGAGGTCTGGTTTTGGAATCATCATCACAGTGTACTTCTTTGTATTTTCTCACTTCCTGCATGTAGACCGACCAGGCGTCCTGAGCAGAGTTCGCTTCCTCTTCGACGTTACGGACTTTGGCGACCATCCCAGTTTTCAGTACTTTGCCGCCCCGGCGCTTGCCAAACGCCCCAAATACCGGTTTTTTTGGAACGGTCTCTTCGGAGGGCTCCTCCTTCACTTTCTGTTCCTCCTGCATTTTCTTGAACATCTCCAAGAAAGAGCCGTCGTTCTTGAAGGGGATGGGCGCGTGGTCGGATTCCGGCTGAGAATCGGCGCCAACATCCTCCTCCGAGTCCTCTCTCCTTATGTCCTCGTCAACTAAATCTCCGTCAAAATCTTCGCCCCGTTTTCTATGGGCTGTATAGTCGTATTTCGAACTTTTGCGCTCTCGCTCACTTCTAAACGACTTTGAGATCGAATGGCTTCTGGAGTTCGACCTGGACTTGTACGATTTTTTCCTTGATCCGTAGGATCGCGACCGGGAGCGGTGTCGAGGACGCCTTCTTTGTCTGTGCCTGTACTCAGGTGATCGAGAACGCGATCTAGAAGAAGAGTATTTCCTTCGCCGGCGTCTAGAATGTGAACGAGACCGTCGACGCCTGCTTCTCGAATAGCTTCTAGATCGTCTAGAATACGATCGCGAACGCTTCCGGCGCCGTCGTCGTTCATGACTCCTGCTACGTGATCTTAAACCTGTCTTTTCAGAAGACACTGCCCTTTCCTCAGCCAGGCATTGCAAAGCCTGGCTGAACGAGGGCTCAATCTGTTTGATACCTTCAAGCTGGTCAAGATCAATTTGACTGTGAACGCTGCTTGACGCTTCGGGGCCTTCATATTCCGTCCCCGGAGGCGGCGGGTTGTTCCAGTCGTATCGACTCATTCCTGTGAATCGATGTGGAAGTGTGACACCTACAAGAGAACTTAACAAATATAGAACTGCTGCTAGAGCTTGCAGGTAATTAAGACTGACATTGGGGCGCTTTGATAGCCAACAGCCCCCAAGCTCTATGTCAAAAATGCGGGGACTCGACCTAACGCCGTACTTACAGTGCTGTTAGGTAATCAATGAGCAAGTGACGTTTTTCGGGCAGATTTTCCGCAATAGGACGCAAACATCACAAGATCTAAATCTAGTCGCCCCGAACAGGGCTCAAAGGACCAAATCGGGTTGGTTTCGTAATAAGTTTGGGGTGTTTACCTTCTCAGTAGAATTTGGGAACACTCGACACAAGAAACGCAAAATGGCTTCCACTGGTATGGTTTTGACAATCGCTAAGCACCGTTGCCGATGCTAATGATGACAATTCCCCATGTTAATCCCCAAAACAATTTTAGTTGGCAATTGTTCAATATAATCGTCTAATCATCTAATGATTAGCTGGCGCTGATCAGCGCCTTCATTGGTTTAAATACCGGGCGACCATCTGACCGGGTAAATTTTCGCGAGTAAATACCAAGCGAGTAGGCCTGGGAAAATTTTGGCAACCTGGAAACGCTGCAAGATCAATGGGCAATGCTACCAACCAAGTGCGGTTGATGGAAAAAATTTCCTGCCTTAATATGCGATTTGCAACAAAATAGTGAAAACGCCGCTTGGGAAATACAAAACAAAAATAACTGTAAACCTGCAGTTACATTAAAAGTCATTGAACCGCTTCTCCTTGAATGAAATATTTTCGCCAAAATTTCCATTCGGCTCAATGGTCTAGGGGTATGATTCTCGCTTTGGGTGCGAGAGGTCCCGGGTTCAAATCCCGGTTGAGCCCTTACTTTTAGCAAAATTCTGTTACAAATTGCGGAAAACGCGTAGCTGAACCTTTCGAAAAAGTGCTGTTTTTTGTTTTAAGAGACCAATAATAGCACGAAAATTGTCATTTTTATTCCTTAGTTACTAATGCTGATTTTCTAGCTCAAAAAAGTCGCACTTACAAGAAAGAAAACGGTAAATGTTTGCGTCCTTGGATGCCAGAGACCGTCAAGCGCAATGACAGTAAACGTCAGGTAGAAGCTAGCTGGAAAAATCAACTTTTCTAGATGAAAATCACACTTCGGATCGCGAAAATACCATTAAACGACGGAGAAAAAAACACCGTTTCCGAAATGCAGAAATTTCCCGCACAAAAATGCAAAAAACTGGCGATTGTCTAAAATTTGACGGAGCAATTTGGCCAACGGTTCGCCCTATTCACTGATAAACAAAAGACTAACTTTTTGGCATGCGTATTGATGAAACTTCATCATTCTGGAACCCATCAAACTTATACAGGGTGGCCCTAAATCAAGGGCGGATCTAGGGGGGGGGTCATGGGGGTCATGACCCCCCTCCCATTCAATTATCTATCCAACGATGCCAAAACAAATTATCTGGCTCGAATGATTCTTGGGAAACTTCGAAAAAAGCGGCGTCATGTTCAAGTGGATTTTGCAACTCAAAAAAAACCAAGCAAACCTAAAATTTCTTGAATTCAAGTCTTTTTTGAGAAAACTGCCAACATTTCCCCATCCATGGTTCACTTTCTAAAAAGGCCATTTATTTCTCTCTAGAATGATG